AAAAAAAAAAAAAAAAAAAAAAAAAAAAAAAGGTTGGGAAATTACCCTTAATTTTGCTTATGCAGCCTTGTACTAGGGATAAATGGAGTGTAGAATATTTGTTGTTGAAGAATGAACTTCACTCTGTTTAATAAGTTTTATTAAGGAAGCCTTAAAGAGTGAAATTTCTTTGAAAAACAGATGTTTGGAAAAATAAAGTCACTGAAATGCTTATACACTTAGCCTAATTATACAGACTCTTCTCTCGGTGGGAAAAGGCAGTTAAGTCATCCCTGTTTGACTATTTTTCTGGTCTTCTGAATGTAGCTTTAGAAAGTTTAGTAATAGTATGTTATAGTCTACACTATCAAGAAATGAGAAAGTGCTTTTAAATTTGGGGTTATTGGATGAGTGAGGCTTTTGAGACAGTAATGAATTGGTGACTGAGTTAGAATTCAGCTCTTTGAAGTAGATGAAATGGGAATCATGTGGTGCTCAGAACAGGTGATGTGTCAGGTCTAAGGTTCATCCTGCTGTTTTTATATAATGTAGATCACTTTTCTGTGGTGACTATCAGGGAGTCTTGTGTCTTGATACTTGCCACTGAGTGACAGGGCAGTCACACATCAGCTGCTCTTCCTTAGCAAATAAGGTGCCAGCAGAGGGAGCCCAAGTACTGTCACAGAGGGACCTTGTTGGAATGTGTCCCATTTGTCCATTTATGTAAGCCAAGTACTGTCTACACACTTGGTGCAAAGGATGAAAAAAGGGCCTAGAAATGTACACTTACAAATTAGGTTTAAATTTGGGGTAAGGATAACTATAAATTCTCTTTTTCCTGCCATCTCTGGCTCAGAACCCTAACTACACAGTAGCACACCTAGCACTGTGGTGCCCCTCCCACCCAGGCACTGCCACCCCAGCCACTTCCAGTTACCTCAAGGCTGAGCTTTTTTCCATCTGAACTCCCTCCTGACAGTCTTAACTAAACAAGCCTTAAAAGCTGCACAAAGTCTGCCTGTTGAGAGGTGCCAGCGAGTGGGGGCAGGCTCTTCCCATCTGCTGTGCTGAGGACCAGTAAGGACATGGATCTCGAGGCCAGGGTGCTGTGGCTGTACTCTGTCCCACCAGATGGTGATGCTCTTTATCTGTGGACAGATGCAGCCGTTGTTGGCTCAGCTCTTATTTGTTCTGCTCATGTGCCTGGAACCAACCTCTGCCAGTTCTGGCATCAAAAGACTAAAACCCACTCTTCCCGCTACCCATAAAAATGGGCACTGGTAGTTAGTTTTCAGAAGGTTAGGAAGCTCTTGGGCTCCCTCTACTGATAATGGATTAACAGGTAGGTTCATTAACAAAGGCAGCATCTATGTAACCGGAGTAAGCAGTGAAAGAAGATTGCAGAGGGAGGGAGTAGGGTGGGATGGTGGCCCCACACTTTAAGGAGACCCATGAAAGAGTCTGCTCTGTACTTGGGGTGTGTAGGTAAACATCCACACCTATACCTTGTGTTTCTCTCTGGCTGTGCAAGAGAAGGGCATGCAGACCACTGGGAAGGATGGGGCTTGGTAAACCTTTCCCTTCTTGCTGCCTTGGCCTGTCTCTTTCTGCCCTCCACACTCACTTCCATCCACATCTATATTTCTACTGCACTAGAATGTACACAAATTTTGTAATTTCAGGTCTTATAACTCCATCAGTATACTATAAAATGGAATTTTCCTTTGGATAGAAAAAATACGGTAGGTAGTAACCATTTGCAGAAATCCTGTGTGATAAACTTAGAATAATCCTACATATAGCTTGTTTGGGAAGCCTATGACTTTGGCTCCCAGCTTAAATCAAGGGGCTCCCTGTTGGCTGCCAGTCTCCATTTCCAAGGGGGAGTGGGGTGCCACAGCAAGTAAGAGAGTACAGGCTGAATTCCTATTAGTCTCTTCTTAGAGGAGGTAAATTTTACATCTATAATCCCAGCCTTTTGGGTAACTAAGGCAGGAGGATCTCAAATTTGAGCTCAGCCTGAGCAACTTAGTTTTTTTACTTTAGTTTCAAAGTTAAAAAGAAAGCTAATAATAATAATAATAAAGGGCTGAGGAAATAGTGTGAAGGCCCTAGTTTCAATCCCCAGTACCATAAAAAACTGCTTACAATTTTTGGAGGTCATGATGTCATGGTTATATAGTGTAGAGATTTATGGCGACATCAGTGAGTGTGGCACTAGGGAGGAGCAGAGTGGCAAGCCTTATACGTGGGATGCTGTGACAAGGCCTATGGGGGATGTTCCGAGACTGCATGGGCAGAGATGAGGGGGTAGGGCCAAGGTCAGCATTGGGGACAGGAGAGCAGGAGGAGGAAAGCAGCAGCCACAGGCAGGTCAGAAGTGCTAGGACAAGAGTGTCTGGGCAATCACAGTGTGGGGAGCCCAGGAGGCTGCATTCTCTCCATGAGTGCAGGTGGGACACTCTGGTGACAGTGGCCACAGAGGGCTTAGAGAACAGTGGCACACCTTTGTTTAGAGGGACCTATCCAGGGGCCACATGGAGAATAGATATGAGAGTAGCAAAGAAAGGGGAACAGGGACAACTTAGTAGGCTATGAAAATTAGCTGGACAAGAGATGATGCAACCCTGCAGCTGTGGCACTAGAGACAGGTAGCAGTGATGGTTCCAGGCCTTGGGAAGCTCTGAGAGATTGAAATGAACTGTTAATTTTAGAAATGACCTAGGACTGAACTCATTCTCCAGGGCAGCATAGTTTCCAATCATACTGAGATCATCCTGTGGTCTGAACTTATCTGTTTGTCTTATTTCATATTTGTGTTGATTGTCTAAAAATATCAGGGGGTCATTTTTGTGCTTTAGTGACTAGTTCAGCATTTTCAGTTGGTAATACAAGCAATCAAAAAAGGCATTAAGTGGGGCCAGAGATCTAGCTTAGTGGTTCTGCTGCCTGCCTTGCAAGCGCAAGGTCCAGAGTTAGATAGATCTCTGGTACCAAAAGAAAAGGGGGAACGCATTAAGTGGTAGATTATTTTGGACAGTTGTGCCTACAGTTGTGCCTGTCTCTGTTAAAAGAAACAATGAAGTTGAAATTCCTATTTTCTCTCATCTTCTTTTATAGTGTGTGTGTGTGTGTGTGTGTGTGTGTGTGTGTTTTCCTCACGTATAAATTACCCATTCTTTGTATTTTCTGGATTGTTGTATCTTTCTTTCCTATATAGGCCTAAAATTTCAAATGACTTAAAGCTCTCAACTATGTATTTATTTATATATTTATTTATTGGCTTACTTCCCCCTTCCTCCCCATTCACTTTGGAAAAATACAGGTTTAATAGAATTTAAGAGGAAATGTATTCTTGGAGTAGAATATTAATATTAAAAATGTAGGAAACTTATGTAAATTAACATTATTGCAAAATTTTTGTGAAAAGTATCTGAAACTTAATATTTGTGATCAGTTGTTTAAAGTGGTGAAGGTTTCTCAAAGTCCTGGAGTACAATCCTACTTGTGTTGTGTTCATGCTCACAGAAGTGGAGGAGAATCCACAGTCAGAGAACGCACCTGCAGCAGAACCAAGCCAGCTTGCAATGGGACAGCAGCAGGTCCTCCGGAGCAGCAGCACCTCTGACATTCCTGAGCCGAGGGTCCCAGATACATCTCAGGGTACCCGGGTCTTCACTTGCTAAAGCGAAGCTGTAGGGTGGGGGTTGCAGATGAGATTGCATTCTACGTTTATTCTATACAGATTTATTTCAAGGGAACTTTTTAAATTTGTTTACAATGATGTGGCTGCTAACAGTGAAATGTTTTCACTGTTTAATATAAGTATCTAAAGTGTGTGTGTGTGTGTGTGTGTGTGTGTGTGTGTGCACGTGCACATGTGGTTTTTTTTTTTTTCCTTCGGGTATATGGTGGTTGAGGACTAGAAAGGAGCCAGGTGGCTGAAGTATGAGGGAGGCAGAAAAAGTTCCCAACAAAGTAAGAAGTAATAGTAAATGAGGTAGAAAGCAGGGAAGCAGTGTGAGGGAAGTAAGAAAAGGCTGTGAGGAGAGCCATAGAAGTTGAAAAAGAGAATGGAAAGCTGACCAGACTTGTGAAAAAGTTCATTAACAGCTTGCAGACTCTGCTAAGGTTGAAAATAATAACTTTTTGGCAGGGGCATAAGGGATTGCACTCAGGCATTGCACATGCTAAGCAAGAGCTATACCACTGAGCTACATCCCCAGGCCTTGTTATTTTTTATTTTCTGTTTTAAGACAGAGACTCGCTAAGTTGCCCAAGCTGGCCTTGGAACTTTCGATCCTCCTGCCTCAGTCACCCATGTAGCTGGGATTACAGGCATGCGCCACAGCACCAGCCAAAAACAAACACAACTTTTAATAGTATTTACAGCTTCTGCAACAACTTTCAGCAACAACAGAGTTTGGAAAGCCAAGAGGCAGATGGTAAATAGTGAGAAAATAGTGTATTTTACAGTGAGAGCATGTGTTTACAGTGTGTCTACTATCACATGTACTTACCATTCCATTTCAGTATCATGAGTTAACTAATAAGCCTACTTTATTTATTGGCAGGTTATCTCATATTTCTTAATATCAAAGTCATGTTGGTCCATTAGTAGAGCAGTGCAGTTTTCTTTCTTAGAAATCTTCTTGAAATAAGAAAATACAATAAAAGAATCACCTGAGAAAATATATTACCTGAAAGATATTCTACTCTTTTCTACTCTTTGCATAAGATTATTACTATTATTAGGGCACAGGCTTAGCTCAGTGGTGGGGCGCTTGCTATATATATATATTTTTTCCTATTTTTACCTTATGATTCATTCCTTCTGTAAAAATTTTTCACCCATATCCCTAGGTCAAAAGGCAGAAATTTCACAGAATTTGACTTCTTCAGAATCCAATCCTAGTCACGAGAATACGGGCCAGGTGAAGAGAGAACATGAAGGAATAACAGTAAGATTTTTAAACATTATCCATTTGTCATTAAAAATAAATAACTGCTCAATAAATTAATTTACTGGTGGCAGTGATATTTAAACATTTTCTTTCTCTATGTAGGTGGATTCTAGGCCCATAGGTCTTATTTACTTTTTATATAAAACTATAGTCATGCTATAAACATAAAAGATTAACGTTAAGTGGAATTCACTATTTGGTCTCCATGTAGCACTGCATATTTGTTCAAGCAGGTGTCCTTGCCTGTTAGACTTGCATTTCACATTCCCTGTTCCTGACATTGATTCAGGTAGTAGCTTCCATTGGATATGAATTACTAGATAAATGAACACAGTTAAAGATCTTTGTGGTTAATTTTTGTTAAAATAGTGTTTGTTTAAAAACAAATACAAAGAAGAAAATTAAAACTGGCCATAATTCATTTATGCAGATAACCCCTATTTATTCATTTGTTTAAAATATATTATGTATTTATAGAAAACTTAAATATCAAATAAGGATACAAAATAAAAAGGGAAAGTCTCCCTAGTCCTCCTTGTTTGAAAGATAACCAACATTAAGTTTTTTGTTTCCTTATGTTTATAAAAGCATGTACCAGTTTCCCTATGTATATTCTGTTTTTCACCAATGAAATACATGCCCACAAACCTTGTCACCCAGCTTAAGAGCCAGAATATTTCCAGTGTTGTTTCTTTGGCTTCTTAAGTTCCTTCCTTGACCCCTCCCCTGTCACCTCCCTGCAGAGAGTGGCATTACCTTGGCTGTGTATGTGTTAGTTCCTTGTTTTGCTCTAGACTTTTGTTATTTCTGCATCTCCAGTATTCTTTTTCTGCCTTCTTTTGCATTTTTTAGGTAAGTGTTCAGTGCTGGTACGGTTGCTGTGTTCCTCAGTGTTCTGTTTCTGTGATTTATCTACACCATACCATGTAGCAGTAACTCATATTTTTTCTCATGTGTGATAGATACTGCACTGTGAATATATGTGTTCTATTATCTTTCTATTCTTTTATTGATGGGCAGATTTGTGTCTCAAGATCTTCATGTCTAAGGTTTTCTCTAGGATGGCCGCTTAGGAATGGGATTAGTAAATCATACAATAAAAGAACGTTCTTCCTTGCAAGATGATACCTATTTTCCAAAGTGGTTGTGCTGCTTACATTTCTGCCAGTAATTTATGAATTGCCATTCATCCACATTCTTATCAACACTTTCTGTTGTCAGATTTTTAATTTGTATGGGTCAAGTAGGTGAAAATTAGGATCTCTTGCTTGCTTTTCTTAGATTACGAAGAATACATAATATCTGTCCTTTTTGACTGGTTATTTGTGTTTCATTTGTGGAATACCTGCTGATGCTGTTTGTTGTTTACCTGCTGATCTGTCTTTTTCTTTTTTTGTTCTAGTTCATTGTGGTTTGAATGGCGATACTGTCTTATATTTGTAGCAAATATCTTCCAGTGCATAGCTTATATTTTTATTCTTTCTATTGGAAGTCCTTCATTTTGATAATCTATTAACATTTTTATGGTTAGAGGCTTAATGGAATTTTTAAAAATCTCAACTATACAGGGCTAAAAATATTACCTTGAATTTATTGTATAGGTGTTTCCATTTAGCTCTACACATTTAAGTCTTTCATCTACCTGAAACTCATTCTTATTTATGGAGGGAGTCCAATCTCATTTATGAGTCCAATCTCATTTCCCACCTATAGGTAACTGTTTGTCCCACATCTTATTTATTGAAATCGTTTTTCATTTATTTATCTCTATTCTCTGATGTATAATCCTTCATTTTGGTACTTCTTGCCTTGATCCGTCAGTCATTTATCTATCTAGACAGATAATTGCTACAGGTCTTCCGCAGCTTTCTCTCTTCCTGTCCTCTTCTGATGGAACCCTTTTCCTTCTGCTTTTTGTCTTTCATCAGTGCTTACAAGAAACCTCTGTCTACCTCTCTACTTGTTGTTTCTTACTGTTCTTTGTTCTTGTATAGAACTTGTATATTTAGCAGATTCCTTTGGTTTATTCATTTGCCCTCTTTGGCATATGCTGTGTGCCACCTGCCTGTGTATGCTAATCTCTGTCACTTTGGAAACATCTGTGGCAACGTTTCTTCAAAAATTGCTACTTTTAAAACTTTCTCTTTTCTTTTTGCTTCAGTTTTATTTTTGAGTATATTTTATAATTTGTGTTCTCTTGTGAGTCTCATCTTTTATTTCTTTAAAATGTTTCAATTTGTGTTCCACATTATTTATCTGGCTATCTGAAATCCTTTGAGAATCCATATCTGGTATTTGCTGTGTCTGACTCTTATCCCTGCTGACTGATTTCTTTGGAGTTTGGTGGTCTTTTCGCATTCCTAGCTGGCTGACTTTTATCTGCCAAAAACCTGGGTGTCTAAACTGGTGGAGATTTACCCGGGCAGCTTTTGTATTTGTGTCTCCTGTGAGTCAGAGAGTTCTGTTTTAATCCTTGTGTGTTGGTCCTTTTGCCACTGGCAGTGGTCATACAGGATTTTCCCATGTTAGCTCCAATTCCTTGCCCTGCTTTCTGTCCACCTTTGAGGGCTCATGAATCTTTCAAAAGATTTACTTCCATTGATCCCCAACATGCAACCAAAGTTTTTATGTAGGATCTAGTTTTATAGTAGGAGTGTTTTATGTCATGCAACCTAAAGCTAACAAGCTACGTTCTACTCTGCAGTTGAGGAAATATCCTGGGTATATTTCTGTGTAGCTTCTGGTTTACATAGCATCCTTCTTGAAGGGTGTGTAATAATTTTTCATATAGTCTCCTAAATATTTATCTGTGTCCTACTTCTCTTTAGCTTAGTAGTTATTCTGTCTTTTAATGACGCATCTTGGTCCCCCCTTTTCATTTGTTCAATATTGATTCCTTTAATTCCAGGGTGGTTTATTTATTTTTGCTTGTTTTGCCTTTAATATACTCTTTTGTGAAGGATCTTTTTTCTTTCTTTCTTTTTTTTTTTTTTTTTTTTTTTTT